CAATTAGGGTCCCTTGTCCTAACAAAATAAACTACTCAAGGAGATTCATCAAACTACAATGTATGAGGTGCTTTTGAAAATTCTGCACCATAGAAAATTACAATGCAAATTATACGTCAATAAACTCCATAAAACTCAATATGACATGATCTCCAACATAACAACACAAATAGACTCAAGTGTATAATGCAACATGTCCATGGGAAGCCAATTAGAGCTCTCGGGTGCTCAGTTTACGGCTTTGAGTCTTTAGCATGTGCCATTGGGTAACATGTGATGACATAAGTCAAAATTTGGCCAAATTCATCATCTCAGGAGTGGGAAACCAAGTATCTACTGATATATATTTAAAACATGGAAGGATTTACAGAGATCAAGAGATCAAAGAAAATGAAAAAATCATGGGAGAAATCGAGGCTCTTAAAACACAAAACCAGTTCAATTTAATTCACAATTCATGCTACATAAATTCGGCATAATCTCCTCTTATGAAAATAAGAATTTGAGCCATCAAAATGAAGATCTAATTGACTAATTTGGTCATGAAAATCACATAAAAATATTAGTAAAAAATGCTCCAAAAATCATAGGTAGAAGCTCATGGAAACTAGATCAAATTATGCATAGAAGATGCCTTCAACTATATGGATCAAGAGGGATCAAGGTTGATTCAAGAGATCAATGATCTAACATTAAATGATGAAGATAGCTTGCTGTAATTTACAGCAAGAAGAATCAACTAGAATCAAAGGAAATTGAAGTGACCTTAAGACTAGATCATTCATGGCTTAAATTTGAGCTCTGGTTCACCATTAGTGGAGTTCACCATTGGTTCACCTTCAAACCAACATTCAAGAGAGAGAAAGGAAGAGAAGGCCTTTGGTCGTGCGACTCTAGGAGGGTAGAGAGAGAAAAAGTGGCGTGCCACTTAGAGAGAGACTGTGTGAACTCGTGTAGAATGGAGGCTTAAGGGGGAGTATTTATAAGCTTTTAACCATTAAGTGTATAGATGCTTCTAGATTGATGAATCTTGACGCTCCATGTATTCATCCAATGGCTATTAAGAGAGGCTTGATCCTAGCCCACCATTCACCATCATGCCATCAAGATTTGTGGTATAGATTTAAACACCGTTATCCTCTTTTAATTCACTCCAATTTCCCAATTATCAAAATGCCTTGTTCTTTACATTTAATTGAACCAAAACCCAAGATGGAGGGTATACCCTCGTGGTAATTTGTCAAAATTCCAGCAAAAAGGATAATTAAAAAGTGCCCTCCATTTTATAAGAGCATGTGAGGCTAATGAAATCATGCCCCTTTTAAAAACCTCACACATGTGTACAAACCCCTTGCTTTTCACATTTAACATGTGCTCAAAATATTTTTCCAAAATCACAGTATTGCATAAAATACCATAATACAATGCCCTTTACTGAATTCAACAAAAGGACATGGGGGACCCCAAGGGGGGTTGATGTCAACCCCATGCATCCTCCATTTGGGGTGACGTGGGACCCCCTAGACCTCCATGTGGACACCCATTGGTCATTTGGGTGTCCCGTGTGTGTCCTGTGGGGCTGTCCTTAATTATCATTTCATGCAAATATTATGGAAAATGCATTGTCTTTCTTAGAAAAATTCTCAAAAATCCACTAATGATTTTCCTCAAAATAAATCATTTTGACATTATTTAAAAAGCATTTACAAGGGAAATTAGGATCTTTGGAGTTGAATTATGAATCAAAGTACTTCACTCGACTAGACCCAGAATCCAAAACCACTTTCTGGTATGACCCAACTAACTTATGACCCACAGTTTATAATCAGGGGCTCATGTTCTTAGTCCATCAAAGTCAAACCAATGAGTGACTCTGAAGCCCCAAGAGGACATGCACACACATGGTGTGGGGGTTCCTCTCTTGGCACATGTCCGTGCCTCTTCCCAGTGGACCTGTAAGAGCGGCTTCCCATGCATTGCAATCATTTATGCACATTCTACAAGGTTTTAAGAGTCAAGGATTTAGACAAATGCCCTCTATTGGCCCCTATACATGCCATACATGGCTATCTCATCATCGAGCTCATATCACATAATCATATAAACATATAAATCGCATTGCTCTAGCCCATCTCTTCATCACAAGTCAGAAACATAATAACCAGCCTTAACAAGAGGTAACCCTTAACCCTCTCGGTACCTCCCATGCATATAAATCTTCCTCATGACCCACTCGGGTTTCTGTGACTTTTGGACCCAGTGTGTCAAGATCCTGGAGTCATGTCGCTCTTTTACTCCCATTGAAGTTAAGAGCTATCCAAAATGTCGGAATTTAAGGCCTTGAAGGGACATGATTCCAACAATGCAGAGGGGCACATGGACCTTTGGAGCTAGCCCCACATGTGCACCACATCACATGGGTCGCGTGTGGAACCCATTGGACCGGCCCACACCTCACACATGGAGATGGCATGCCCGCCTCTCTTGCTTTTTAGTTTTTATTTATATGAAATTTGATGTCTCATTTAAGTTAAGGAAATCTTTTTGAAACATGATTTATGTCATTATTTTGTGGGAGTCGATTATATGAAAATATTGTTTGTATCTTTGACCACATTTTTTTTTTTTTGACTTCCTTCAATTTTGTTAGAGATAAAGGAAGTTCAAGAATTTAAGATTGTTCGTATCCTAGTTTGACTAAAAGTGAGATATAGGTCAAACATTCAGGGAATAAGGTTTCTAGATTCCTCCCTAAATCATGATACTTGATTTATAGATGGATGACATAGATCTATCCTTTTTCATCCCACAAAATTCTTATTGGTCATGATAAGTCTTAACTGTACAGGCAATACATAGGGCCCTTGGGGCCTATAAAGGAGGGGACACCCCCCCCACCCC